ATCTTCTCATTCAAATTTTTTATGACTGATTTTTTTATGGCTGATTCAGTGATTGTATGGCTGAATTGAATCAAATGTTTTTTTTTTATGGATGAATTACATGTCTGAAAAGCATATATAAAGTAAAAGCTCAATAAAACAAGCATTTTAAAATTCCAACGCCTAGGCGCCCTGTGGTCGCCTAGCCTCGTCTAGGCACCTTGAAAACTATGTTTATGATATAATCTCTTTCGGCTTGGGAAAGGTAATTGTTCCACCATCCTTTAAGTTGGTCCGTAAAGCATTCGATCATTATGGTGGTAATTATTTTTTCTTCATTCCCAACCAGTTTGCTAGCATATAACGTCATATGATGGATCATTTCATAAATTTGGTACTCATTTTTCCCATCTAAATTCCATTCATAAAATGTATTTCCATCATAACTTACCTGAGGTTTTGCAGGTTCCTCAAAAAGCAAGTCTACTGGGGTATGACTGGGGTAACAAGGTTTTTTGCTTTTATATGAGAGCTTATTTAGCTCTATTGAAGGGATTTCTGATGGTGTATCTGATTTTGTTTCTATTTTTTATTCTTTGCTTAATAAATCTACAGAGTGAGTGTCAGATTTTTCTTCTTTTAGTTTTTTAGAAGATGTTTTTGAAGATTCTCCTTTTTCCCATTTAGAGTTCTAGAACGAAATCATTTTATTTGCTACATCTTTGCAGCTCATTTTGGACAAGTCTAACATAGCCTACTTGATCCTCATATCTCGAGGAAATTCTCTCACCATTACCATAGGCTTTCTTTTCTAATTATTGCTATTTTTTGATTGGAGACTTCCAGGGAGCTCAACAGGGTTTCAATTCGGATTGTTTGTTGCCTAAGACATTCAGGTATATATTTGTATAGTTATTTTGTTCTATTATTTAGGAACAATGTTCTGGTATCACCTTTTCAGTTTCTTTGATTGTCGAAGAATTCTTTATTGGACTATCTGTTAGCTCGTCTTTTCCTTGTACTGATTCTACGATTTTACCCGTAGAAGCAGTCTTCCATGCTCTAGAAAGTTTATTTGTGACACATAAATATAATTCTTCTGATTCATCAAAAAATAATAATTCTTCTTCTGGGGGTTTTATATTTTTAATCTGCTTTTGTTGTTCATACCACTCCCAGAAAGGAATATTTTCCTTTGCTTCTATCATATCTTCCTACCATAGCTCTTTAGTACGACCTCTCAGATTTAGAGAAGTTTTCAAAGAACCATTTCTTTCTTATTGGTTGGGAATTGAAGTTTAATCTAATAAGATCTTTGTCTATATAAAATTCTTCTTCAATTTCTAAAACATTTATTTCAAAATCTGCTTTTGTTGGCTCATAAGATTTAAAGAAGTGACTTGATTTTGGGCTGTATGATAAGCCGACGGTGATGTATTGACTATTGGTGTTTCGGGTGTAGCATATATTATGCCTAGAGGGGGACGAGGTGGTTCTGACCATAGTTGTCAAGGCACCTAGGCATCGCTTTGGCGTGTAGGCGCTTTTTGGTTCTCGCCTCGCCCAAACGCCATATGATGTATCTATAACATGTTGTAATTTTTTCATATTTAATATTTTTTATTTTTTAAGTCTATAATATAAATATAGACATGATACACCGAATCTTTATTTTTATTTCTTTCATATTATAATAATTTTTTTATTAATTTCTTATCTTTTTAAGGTTTATGATAGATAAAATATACGAAGGTGAGTTCTTAGAGATATAGATATGATATTCAAAGACGAGTTCAAGAGATATCCTCGTCAAGTTCCAAGTTGTATGTCTTTGAAGAAGGTGTGCTTTTCGTTCTTCTTTTGGAACAAAAAACAGGGGCCGCTTCTTCTTCTTCTTCTTCTTTTGCTGCTGCTAGAACAAAAAACAGGGGTTCCACCCCTTCTTTTTCTTTTTTTGGAACAAAAACAGGGGCTCTGCCCTTTCTTCTTCTGGAACAAAAAATAGGGGTCTATTTCTTTTTCTGGAAGAAAGGTAGGGGCTCTGCCCTTCTGTATTTCTATTTCAACGGAAAAAATTGGGGTTCATCCCATTTTTGTTTTATTTTTCTTTTAGACATTAAGTGACGCCTAGGTGACCAGGCAACTAAGCACTTCCCCATCACCTGGGTTCGCCTTGGCGCCTTGAAAACTATGGTTCTGACAAATCCACCAACCTTTTAGAATAAGATCTTACCTCCAATGGTTCAGAATATGTTGGCCTTGGCGAAGTCGAGGCCCTCTTGAACCTTAGCTCAACAGATCCATCTTGCTCACTAAATAGTAAATACTGAAGCTAATTCAGTAGACTCTATAGACCTGGGAGGCTCGACATTAGCTATTAACCAACTGTCCGGTAAGTTCACGTCTTTCCGCATGATTTGCCAAGGAATTGTAACATTATTCCTAGTGTTGGTTTAGAACAAAGTCGTCATTCCCTTTGCTCCTGTTATCCTAGTATTAGGACAGATAGTATTCATGGTCTTGAAATAGACCTTGTAGACTAACGCTACATTTTCTGATCCTGGTTTCATTTCGAAACCTTGAGTTTGTAGCCTCAGTGTTAAGGCTTCGTGTATCCCTGGGTCCATTAATGACACCGTAAAATTAAGGAAGGCATTAAAATATATGGGTCCTTGACTAAGGCTTCCTTCAATTACTCCTATTAGGGAATTGCTAAATTTATTGTGTCTAGAATCTCTTAGGCCAGGGCAGTGGTCTGAAGTCCTAATCGGGTGAAAGGTTTAATGGCTACTTGCACTAGGCCAAAATGGATAAAATGGCACTAAACTTTTCTCTTATAGGCCTCTATTGTTTTCTGATCTATAAGATGGAAATCTTTTGATTAATTTCCTAGCACTATCATTCTTTCTCCAATTTTGACCTTTTTTGGTCCTAACTAATACATCATTAAGTAGATTCTTAAATCTTCAATAGCTGAATGTTGCTATGTTGATTTCTACCCTTGGGAGTATCATGTCTGTTTATGAATGTAAACTTTATTTTTCTTTTGTTGAAATTGGTTGGTTTATCCATCAGATTTAACCAATGATTTGATTTGGTTTCGCATTTTGCAGATGCACAAAATTGAACATGGAGATTGTATACCTAGTACAATTACTTAATTTTAATCATATGTGCATTTGTCAACAAGCAACAATTTTAGCCTTCTTTTTTGTTAATTTGCAACCTTTTTTTTTCTTAATATTTTGGCCTTAATTAGCAATTTCCCATCATTGGTGGTATTTCCATTTAATTCTTAGATGGTGAATTGTCTTAGGGAAGATTTACATTATTGTGTTAAATTGATTGATTAAGTTTTCTTCATACCACTTATGTGGGAACACATGGTATGATTAAGGATCATCATGGGGCCATGGTGAGCTCCTTTTGATTATATGCTAATTTTCAAATATTTTCTCCCTTCTACAATAATGCTACTACTGCTCTATTTATTTTTGCAGCCAATTGATAACTGATATTAGAGTTTAGCAACTTGATAAATTGGCACCTTCATCTTTAGTTTTATTTATATTTTTGATAGGTTTGTCTTTGGTTTTATTGCTTTATATGATTGCAATGAAACCCTACTAAGTCCTTTTTTTTTAAATTAAAGAAGATAGGTTTTATTTTCTAATTTACCATTTTTTCCATTTCTTAAATTCACTGTATGGACCATTTTTTGTGCAAGAGGGGCAGTGGCTGCTGGCAGAAGATATTCTCACGTGGAACCATGACTGGTAGTTCATATCTTGAGTAATTTCATAAATGGATAAGAATGTGGTTATCTTGTTAAAAATTGCCTCTTTTCATTTTGATTTATCTGAAATCCTCACTAACAATTAAACTAAATGGTTCCACTTAGCATGTCCACTTGATCTTTCCTCTTTTCGTTCACATTTTTGGTTTCTTGAGAAACTTACCATCATATTTCTGGTTTTGAGTTTGATACAATCAAGTAAGAAGTAATGGGGGATGGAGATAATAACTGGAGTCCTTATTTATACTGAAAAGTTTCTGCTAATAGGGAGTTTTGCTCTCCTTGGGTTTTGTGCTTTTACTAAGGGCCCATTTGGCGTGTCTTTTTGGGAAGATCTTTGGTAGCTCTGACATGCAAAAGATGCATTGAGCTTTTGCATGAAGATCTGAGCAGCCCGAAGCATGTTTGGCAGACGCATGTCTTTTCGTGTCTTTCTACGCGACAATAAAACACAAAAGACGCGGAAAGCTTCATTTGAAGCTTCCCAAAATCAGCCCAAAATGGGCTTCTTGCATCTTTTCGACGCTCCGTCTTTTGGCGGCTAGATCTTCCACGAGCCAAACGGGAATAGACCGAAAATCGGTTTTCCCGGCTTGTAAACAACCGAAAGACCGCACGGAAAGACGCGCCAAACAGGTCCTAATTCAGCTAATTTTGTGATGGCTGCAGGTGGCATGGTTTGTAAAGTATAGTTATGAAACAAAAATGGGTTCAATTCTACAAGCCATTCTTTTTTGTGAATATTCAATGGGGAAGACTTAAATTATACAAACATTTTAGGCTAGTTGTAATGGAAGGGAACACAGTATTCCTTCGTTCAATTACTATAGGAAACACCAAAACATTTTCATTTTGATTTCTTACATCTCTTGCCTTATTTGACTATAAAGCATTTATTTTCTAGCTCCTTGACAAAACCAATTCTAAGCATTTATAAACAAAGGTAGGTTGTAGACTAATCGGAAATATATTCCCAAAATGTTCCCTTTCCCCTTTCTTGGGGAGAGGAGCACTCTGCCATTGGAAAAAAACAATTCTTGCACCTATCTGAATGCACAAGAGGTACTGATTAAAGCACAAAAAAATACTCAATCCCAAACTGATCTCTACTAGAGCTGAACTTCTATAGAAATTCTATGTGATGAAACAACTAAACCATTACAAACAACAGAAAACATCTTTGGGGCTGTAAATAAAGACAGATCAGCAGCTGAGATTCACTCACATTTGATGCTAAGCACTAAGAGATGTCATTGCAGAAGTTATTTCCTAATACCGCATAGCTGCTAATATATGTTGTTCCTCATTGTCCAAACTGCATTTGTTGAGAATAACCAAGAAGCTTTTTGAATAGGGGCACAAGGGCAATCAAAGCAATTTGGAGCTGTTCTGAGCTATTCAAACGAATACTGACTTGGCCAGCCCCCTTGTTGTTCAAATTGGCCCGAGCAATCATGTTTGTAGACTGGCCTATAGGGAACTGAGATTGTACATTACACCCAATTGCAAGATCTCCATGCCAATCCATGATAGAGAGCCCAAGAATTGATAGAGTGCGACCAAGAGGATAATCCCTATCTCTCAAGGTGGCTTCTAGACTGCCACCATATGCTACATCACCACGACCAGTCATAGCACCCCCAGTCATAACCAACCGGAACCTTTTATTAACAATCAATTTGTCTTCAAGCTTCAGTCCAGCTGTTAAGGCATCACCCAAAAGAGTAACTGAAAGTCCAGATGCCATTTTATTGTGTCTAAAGTTGCTAAATCTTGTTTCACCGCGTAAAGTATAAAGCAGGTCCTTTCCAACAGTCTGCATGTCAAAACCCAAGGAAGTTGCCTTACCTTCACCATGCTTGATGGAACTGGCTAGCTCCATTTGGAGATTGGACTCCTTTTTATCCTTTGTAACCTGACCAGAAAAGGACAAAGGTATCTTATCTTTAACCACAAATAATCTTTCCACATTTATACCCTCATAACCAACATCATGATCCCAACCATGAGTTTCTAAAACGGGCCTCACAAGCCATTGGTTGGAGGAATCCAGGTGGCGGTATCGGTGAGTGGGATTGTCTGAACCAAACGAAGTAGGCAAAGCTAGATCTGGCATGGGAACCGGCACAGATGCAGCACCACCACTTTCTTCTTCTGTGTTCTCATTATAGTCATCTGGCAAATCCTTAGCAGCTGCAGCCATTTTCTTCAATAGTTTCCGCTGCTTTCTCTCCTCCTTCAACTGCTTTTTCATAAAAAGCTTTTCCCTGTATTCTAGTTCATCAAGATATGCCTTCTTTTGGGCTTTACTCAACTCTGCCAGTTGAGCCTTGGTCAGACATTTAAATGGTGGCAATTCATCATAATCTGACTCTTCTTCATCTGAGTCTGTTTCCTCATCCAAGTCCTCATCCAACATATCATCATCATCATCACCAAACTGTTCTTCTGGCAGTTTCAACTGGGGCCTTGATTGAAGAAGAGATGATAAAAGGTGCGGCAATAGGAGTACCCGTGGACGTGTTGCAAAAGGCTTTCCAGGTGGACCATCTTGTAGCTTTAAAAGTGTGTTTGCCTCAGCTAAAATCTTTGAAGCAAAGGATAGCAGTAGTAGATGAGGTTTCCAAACCTGCCCGTTTGGTAAAACTCTCTGCCCTGCCCTGTTCGTTCTACAGGCAGAGTGATTCTCCACTAATGAAACAGGATTCATAAGACGCATGTCCCCTGCTGCCTGGCGAATTGCTTGCTGGACCACATGGGAACGCTGAGTAACAAACATTTCATAACTTGATGCAGTACCATTTGGACCATCAGGCGGAGCAGATGCTGCATGGGTCAGAACCACAATTGCATTAAACCAAATAGACGGTCCAAATATCTCTGTGATTGTACGCAACAATGGCATATCACCAAAGTCCCTGCTTTGCATATCTAACCTGTCAAGATACAAAACAATATCTGGAGGGCTCTTCTTGATGAAACACTTGACAGAATGCAGGATCTTCTCATTGTGCCGTTGATCTGACCAAGAAGGTAAGAGACCCGGTGTATCAATCACCCTAACCTTGATCCCTTGAACTGTTCCTACCACATCCTGGACCTTCTTTGTGCTCATTTGGAATGCATCAGTTTTGAACTTTACCTCATCAAATATAGAATTGATAGTCGCACTTTTACCAACTCCAGTCTTTCCAAGAACCATAATGGTGCATGAGAAGTCAAGAGGTTCCTGCCCAGCTGCCTCAAGCTGCTCTGCCATAGCACTTGCCCGGTCAAAACTAAAAGCACCTGCCCGACTAGTGTTTCTTCCTCGAAGCTGTTCAGCTAGTCCTAGCCTGTATAGAACCTGAGCTACAACAACATTATGAGGAGTCTGCCCAAGCCTGTAAGCAAGTCGTAAAAATTTCACTCGGATCATCTGTAGTTTTTCACGAGTCTCATCATTCTCCTCAGTCTCACCATTCATGGGGTCTTCAACAAGCTGTGCTTGACGCTGTGGTACAGATCCATTCACCCGAGATTGTTGTATTGCACGCGGAGCAGGTTCCAGGAATGGGGCAGCACCTCCAAGACCTGCTGGACGAGCAGGAGCAGGCAGAGGAGGAGACGAGGAGTTACTGGAACTAACATCTACTGCGGGCTGGATTTCTGGTTCTATGTTCCCTCCCAACCACTGTTCCTCTCCCTGATCTTTTGTTTCCTGCTCCTCAGGCTCTTCTTCAGGGTTGTCATAGTTTTCAATACTATCAACAGACTGAGGCTCAGAATCTTGAGAAGCTGTCTCATCTGATTCAGCAGTGTAAGTGTTAATCTTCTCATTAATTTGAAAAGTAGAAGCTCCTGGTAGTTCTGGAGTAACTGATTCTGGACTGTCCACCTCATCCTTACAAGCTTCTATAGGAGCTGGGATTACTGGTTCTGGACCATCCACTTCATCCTTGCAAGCTTCTATAGGAGCTGGGATTACCGGTTCTGGACTGTTCACCTCATCCTTGCAAGCTTCTACAGGAACTGGGATTACTGATTGTTGACCCTCCACCTCATCTTTCAGAAAAATTAACTGGTTAGTTGAAGAGTCCTCTGGTTGCTTGCCTTTGTGTTCATTGTCTTGATGCACAGGAAGCTCATTAGAATCACTTAGTTGCGAAGACTCAACCCCATCTGATTCCATATGGATAACATCACCATTTTCCTGAACAACAGGGGTTTCCTCCAACTTGGCCAAAATTTCAGTATGGGGCTTCACGAGAAGTGCTACAGTCCTCCCATCCACCTCTTCCTGATTCATCAATGATTTATTTTCTCCACCGTTATTGTCAGCAGCAGCAGAAGACACCTCACCCACATCTGTTTCAGCATTATTAGGCAAGCCAGCATCCTCTAACCTAACAGATTTTTCTGATACAAATTCCATCTGGTTATCTTCCATATCAGCAGCAAGCTTAACATCATCAAGAAGCTCCAGCACAACCAAATCTTCTATCTTTTTGGTAACGACCAATTCTTCCTCTCCGGGGCTCCAAGTCCGAGCCTCACTAGGAAGGTCAATTGGCTCTTCATAATTGTCAGCCTCATGGCCTCCATCAGAGCTTTCATTAGCTTGAAAAGGATAAAAAACTCGAGCCCTCTCTACACTCTGATCTCCATTAACAGAAACTTGCCCCAACCCAGCCCTTGGGGTCTCATATACGGCATGGAGGTCATCAAGATGCTCATCCACCGCTTCCTCAAAAACATCATCCCCTTCAGAATCCTTGGGTCGATGGAACCCGTGACGATCCCTCTCTCCTACTCTCGACTGAGAAACCCCATCTTCCACTACCTTTGTTTCAGCCAGCTTAGATCTATCGGCAATTTCAACCCCAGCTTCCATCATTATTCTTTGGTTATTGCTTCAAACCCTAAAATCACCAGAACCGGTAAAAACAATCTCAGGACCTACAGACCCAATCCTCAAACAAATATTAAACGACCAATAATTCCAAAAAAAAAAAACAAAATACATAAAATCGATAAGGGGATAAGCTCCGCTAATTCAGAATAGATAAGGAAAATGACAAAAAAAAAAAAAACGACGAATGTAAAATTGAAACTACATATCTAAAACTCCTCGCACAATCTATTCATTTTTCATTTTTTTTCGTTGTTGACCTTTACTCCTAGGGTTTTGCAATAGAAATCAAAAGTTTCAACAGGAATCATCAAAAGGCGAGAGAAAAGAGATAACCAGGTGAAAGAGAGAGGAGAGAACTTACGAATGGGTCACAGGGAAAGGAAGGAGTAAAAGCTCACCCTCTTTCTAATAATCTGGTTAGGAACCGGACGAGAATCTTCTTCCTCACCGCTTTTTCTCAATTCATCTCCTCTGCGACTCTTCCAATCTACACTACTGCACAGCAGGGTTGTTGATTGATGGAAAGATGTTCGGATAAGAGAAGATCGACGGTCAACAATGCTCCCGGGTTCAGAACGAATATCCGATTTCATTTTGCTGCATCTTCTACGTCAACATGGTGGAAAACGACAATTGGTGATAAAAGCCTCGATCACTGCGACACTGCATATCTCGCCATTTTGATTTTTTCCGGTTTATCCTTTTTCTCCTGTAGTCCCACCTAATTCCAATCCTATAGACATGGTTGGACCATTCATCCGGTGGGTGGGCCCCTCTTTATTCAACTTGCGAGTCTGGATCTCCTCTCAACAAAAACCTCTCGAATCCCTACGACATGTTGGGACAGGTGGCACGTTTTATAGCGCCGTACACAATTATAGGGTTATGTGTCCCACGCTGGCGCGTGTATGGTAGAGTTGATGGCGGTGTCCTAGAGTTCGCATCTGCGCCGATGTCAACTCTGTGTTGTACCGTAGTGCTTTTACTAGTGAATGACTGAATGTCATGTCGACCTGTTCACGGGCCGATATTTGGGCTTGGATTTGGGCTTTTTAATTTTTTGGTTAGGTTAGGACAAATTTAAGCCCGGCCCAGACGTGAGTCGGATTTGACGTGATATATATATATTTGGGCCTGGGATATAGGACAAGTTCAACTTAATGCATTAAATTTTAGAGTGGGTTAGGCTTAGATCGGACAATTCGGGTTTCACCTCAGGTTTGGGCTTTAGGCCAACTGTCCAATTCTTAGAGTTGGGCCTAGATTGAGCTAAAACCCGACTTAACCCACCTGATTTGAACCCCTAATTAGTAAGTTTGATAGCACATAAATTTGAACTAACAACAAGGAGCTTGTCACGCACGTCTCTCCATAGGAAATTCTGCACCCTAGAAAGGACTGCAACTTCCAAAGATTTGGACCAGATTATAACTTGCAATCAAATTACTTTCGTATGCAGATTTGGCAAAATAATAGCCTGAACAAGTAGAATAGGACCCTGATTTTTCAAAACTCTATTAAGGATTGTCTTGTCTTCTTGATTGTGGAATATAAATTCTTCCAGTTTCTTGGCATAACAAGAAGCAAGGATTGGAGAGTACTCGGATTCCATGACCCATGATCAACATCCAACACGTCATGAACCATGTTAATTGGGCAGTTAGGAGGTTTTCGAACAAGGACCTTTAAATTGGGAAGCTTTGAGACCCACAATCCACCCAAAAGTCAACGGACCTATCATTGCCTACTTGCCACATGAAACTTCCAGAGCAAGGTTTAAAATTTTGACATGATATATTTTGTATCGAGCGTATCGTATCATATCAACAAGTGGCCGATAAGTCATTTGGAAGGCCTTTCCTAGAATGATTGATTTTGAATGTTAAATAACATTTAAATCAACCCCTCATCAAAGTATGAAAGGAAAAAAAAAGGTTTTATAGTACCAAAACATCTGATACACGTGAACATGCATATTGGGTGTGTCGATACTTTGAACCTTGCTCGAGAGAGGATCTCACGGCCAACCATGATACTTTTCAATCCCTAAGAACAACTTCTAGGGTTTTTTTTTGCATGAAGGGAAGGATAATGAGGAAAATATTTCCCTTTGAGAACATGGCACAAGAGAGAGTTAGGATTTTACACCAATCTCTAGGCTTGCTTAGCTAGGCAAACAAGATTAAAGCTCTTTGAATCTTTGAACCAGCCCACCTTCATTTTTTAGTTTACACAAAACCTCCCAATTTAACTAATGAATTTTACTTTGCAAACCTCTGACACCCCACCAAAATTTCCTTACAGCCTTTACAATCTCATCACAAATTAATTGAGGAAGTTAGAAGCAAGACATAGAGTAAACAAGTAAAGAAGAAATAACAACCTTAATTAGGACTTGTTTGCTTGCCTTTAGATAAAAGATTTCCTCCCAGCCCTATGTTTTATTCTAAACTCTATACTTGATGAAGTCGACCGAAAGCTTCTTAGTGTTCGATAAATCTGAAGTCTGAAGTTTGGAAAGCAAAAAGTAAATGAAAAGTTTGCCCCTTGACTGAAGTAGAAAAGTAATTTGAATGTAGTGATGTCTGAAAAGTTTGAATTTTACAAATTTGCTCCTTGATTTATTATTTAAATAAAAGTAAATGAAAATGATTAAAATAATATGATATTATAAAATAATATGAATTGATAACAAAATATTAAACAAATAATAAAAATGACTAATAAGTAATATTTAAAAGAGTAATAAAAAATATTAATATTATAAAATTAATAAAAATTTAAAAACAATAAAAGTTAATAAATAATACCACTAAAAAAAAGATAAAATAGTTACAACAATCAAATTTCATCACTATTCATTGTCTTCCCAATTAGAATGTTGAACTCAAGTTCAATGCCTCTCCAATTTGAGGCAATGAGATTCTCCACTCTTAGTGCACCCCATCTCACACCAAAGCCAGCGCTGGAAATCCAACTTCATTACACATTAAAAAGGCATCGTTCCGCCACCCACTGGAATCCTCCGCCATTTAAGCTCTTCTCTTCCTTCAAAGCTTTGGATTTAGGGGAAAAAGGAAATCTCTTAACCTGATTTTTCAATAAGCAAAATAAAAGATTGAAATAGCAAGAGATTTGAACTGGAGTGGAAAGTTTAAATGAAAATGTTCTGAATTGTATGAGCTTCTCAAAGCTTTGTCTCTTCATTTCTATTTCTACTGAAGGAATAAAAAATGAAGCAGATGCAAAGGACACACTACAACACATCAGCACGGGATAAAAAGTAGAGGTGGATATCGGAGAGTGAGTGGAGTTGGAGGGACAAACTATCCGCCATTCTCGGAGCTTCAAAGTTTAGAGAAGCAACGAGAAAAAAATTATAGTTATTTGTGGTGGTCCCTTTTTCAAAGACACAATCTAAAGATGATCTATTGCCACTAACAATGAGGTTGTGGCCGTTCCTTTTTTTTCTTTGTTTATCTTATTTGTTTTATGTTTGATATTTGAGCTCTAAAATTGTTCTTGGCTTCTCATATTTGTTCAGAATTTTAACTTAAAAATGCCATCAACTTTGAGAATGTTGTCACTTACAACTGCTCCTTCGCTAGCAACACCATTTGCCATAAATGGAGTTGAACCTGGTTCATCTACTCCGACAGGATTGAGACAAGACAATTGGAGATCTGGGTTTGAACCTGGTTCACCTACTCCTCTGTTCAAACCCACAATCGGCATCCTGGGTTTGAACCTTGTTCATCAACTCCTCTATTAACGGGATAGATGAGGGAGAAAGAAGAAAGAGGGAGGAAGAAAGAGAGAGGGGCATGGATGGAATCAAAATTTTGTTCGTCGCCTCCAAATTTTCTCAGAGGTAGCTTTGGCGCTGAATGATTCGGAGGTTCTTTCAGTATTCAGAGGATCAATTCGAAGGGGAAGCCGAATGACCTCTGACCACTGAAAAAGCAATATTTTTGGTGTTCGAAGGTTGATTCAGCGCGATCGAACACCACCTTAGTAAGAAATGAAGAAAACATATATGAAAAAAGCGAAAGCATTATTATATGTGATAATTTCAAATTCCATAGTTGACACTCTTTCTTCAGACTTGGACCCTCCTTGGCGTATCCACACTATTGTTCAGGTTTGTAAAGCTCTATTTTCAGAGCCTTCTTCCTATTTGATTCAATATGCATCTCACTTTTGTAATAGATATCCCATTCGCTAGCTCAATATGCTATTAAGCATAATCACTCCATGACTTGGTCTTCCCCTCCAAATTTCATAAGGTTTATGTGTTGAATGATATGCATTATGATTGATGAATGAACTTTTGCCTTTGGGCTTCAAAAGAAGAGTTAAATGTTTGGAGTTAAATTTAGGGTCATTTACTAAAACACCTCCTAAGTTTCACATACTTGACTAAAATTTATCCTATAGTTTGTATTTTGCTAAAACACTATAGTTTTCAACATATTTATTTAATCAACCGTTTGTAAGATGGAAGTGGAAATTGTTATTTTGATTCTAACATCTATTGAAGCAAATTTAATCAAAATAAAATAAAAAGGAAATATCATACTTGCCCTTGGTAAATCATGGGAAACCACTTTGTTCAATTAACTTCTCAATTTGAAGAGAAAGAAGGTACACTACTATAAATGAAGAACCTAGACACTATTGTTCTCTCTTCTTCTTCTTCATTTTGATAAAAACCAAACAACTATTTTGGTAGATCTAAAAAGTAGAAACCAAACCTTGTTTCTTTCCAAAAGCTTGATATGAAGTGTTAGGGGTGAAAGTGTTCAACCAAACAAAGAAGAGAAGAGAGAGAAAGAAGAAAGAAGAAGAAGAAGAAGGGGAGAAAGTGTCGAACTGGATAGTCTACTCATCTAACCCAGTCGACCATATACTTTGCATTTGAAAACATAAGATGCAAAAGACTGAAATGCCCTTGCATGTGAGGAGACATATAGCCAACATAGTACATAAAGGGAAAAGACTAAAATACCCTTCTCTAATTGACTCTAACACTCCCCCTCAAGTTGGAGAATATATATCATACAATCCTAGCTTGTTATTGATGGTGTATGAACCGAGGTTGCAGTTAAATAGTCCTTGCCAATAAGGCGAAGCAAAGTGGAAGGACGAAGCTACGCTATAAGACCTGTGATCAAGAAAGATGTCAGAGGTCCGAGGAGTTATCCCCGGGTAGGCACTCCGACGCTCAAGTCAATAGAAAGTGGTGGGTGGTCGGGCCGAGCAATGAGGGTGCTGGTCCAAGCAAAGTAACAGTATGGGTGCTAGCAGTTGGAATCCATTACCTTGAGCGGAAGATACCTTTTTATAGCCAAACATCTGTGTCCTAATTGGATTAGGCTTTTGAGGCTGTCGTGATGATGTTAGCTTCCGAGGTCTTAGGAAAGAGTCCTAATCCCCAATGGAGTTGTCCCCCATCCCTCTCCTGTTCTCGGTTGTACTTATTTGCATGACGTGGAGTTGACGTGGTTTAGAGGATAAGGTGGGGGCTATGGAAGTAGCGTAGCGCAATCACGGCCATGATGTATGCTACGGAGCTAGCAGGGCAGTGCTGACGTGGTCGAGGTGATTAGGTAAT